TTTTAGTAATAAGAATAGAATTAGAAACAGAAAATAATGATAAAATAAATATTAGCCAAAACATGTTGTACTTCTTTACCTTCTAAAATGTTTTATGACTATTCTTTTTCTCTTATTTTCTACAAGACTCTTTCTCTGAAATTTAATAATTATTCATTCCAGAGAAAAAAGCGCCATACGTTTTGCAACAAATTTTTTTTCCAATAAAAATGTTGCATTCATAACTACACTATGTTATTGTTGTTTCTTTATCTATTTAGAGGATTGAGTTCGTTACCATTGAGATATTAACAAAAGAAAAAATATAAATAATTTTCTTCTTCTTCAAACTACTCTGTTTTCAATTAAATTGTCTTTTGAGCATACTTATCAAGTATCAGGAAATAGAAAAAAAAGTCATGATATCAACAAATGACGTCTTCTATACACTCAGTAAACATATTTCTTCGATGAGAAACAATGACGTCTGTTTATTTCATATATAGTCAACGTAGGCATTGAGGGTGTGAGCGGGGGGGGGGGGTACGCATGCTGAATATGAAAAGGCCAACTCCCACACCCTCAAGATAAACACATATATTCTATTCTTTCGCATTGATTTTATCGATGACGTCGAATATTATCTAATTTATGATATTTTTTAAATAAAAACCATTGTAATTAAATATTGTTCTCTTGTATGCTAATGTAGCCTCACTATCTTCTCGAATAAAATATATTCTTACAATAGAAATTTCAGCTAAACTAGTGTTTATCCTATAGAATTGTTTTTAAAAAAGAAGATTATATTTGTCATGAACATCATTTATAACATATACTTACCTACATTGTTTTAATTACTTTTAGGAGATAGAGCAGTAGGAAATAAGTAGGAAAATAAAGAGAAAACTACTGCTAAGATCATTTTAAATTAAGATTATTTCAGGTAGAAATAAAAGAGGGGATTCGAGCTTTCGTGTTCGAACTGAACACATGTTGAGGGTGTGGGTGTGAGATGTGGATATCGATTTACCCATACCCACCCTACTTGTTTTAATTACTTTTCCTTCTATGAGCTGTTACTCGCTTGGTTTAGCTTTAAACAAACGATATTTCTTTCTTTTTTCCGCCTTCGCGTTTTGTGGAACTCACATGTAACAATGTGAGTGCAAGTTATAATTCAAAGTTTTGGGGCTACTTCCTCCTCCTGTCCTAACGAGAAAAAACTCGAGGTTTTTAGTTTTCCATCAGAAGACTCAATGTTTTAAAATTTTCTTATGAAAAAATCCCAAAAACCTTAAAAAACAAATTTTTTCCTCGTTAGATTTCACTGAAAAATCTTAGTTTTTCGTCACTACCACACTACTATTACAGACAATTACTCTTAATTAAAAGCATTTGACACTATATATCGAGGTTTTCTCCCAGATTCTCTTGGCTACAAGCCTTAAGAATCGGGGTTAAAACTCAACAACAGGATAAATAGTGATTAGACATCGTGATCGAAACTCATTGATCACGTTTTTTGAATAATCGTGATAAATATGTGAATTCCATATTTTACCCCCAAAGGGGTTACGCTGATAAGTTTTTTTTCTATTGAAAACGATATTAAAAATTATTCATAGTTCAATACTAGGAATTATTTCTATTATTTACATACTCCTTTCTAGAAAAACAAATGCCTAGCTCTGGAATTTTCAATTCGATTATATCGAAATAATCAAATGAAAAGTGAGTCTCTTATGAAGAATATATATTCATAGTTTCAAGAGTAATCGACAAAATTATATCGAGAAAGCTACTGCCGGTTTCTAGTTAAAATATCGTTTGTTTTCTCTAGTAAAATTCCAACAATAGATGCAAAGTGTGAGCTACCCGTGGCTCATATCGCCTCGAAAGGGTTAAAGAAATAAAATATATTGTTTACTCATTTGATTGTTTTTTTTAATATAATCCGATAGGCTAAACTGAAATGTCATGGATTGACAATTTAAATAGATATATAGTACATTCTAGAGTGGATGATAGCTTGAGTATATGTTAGAAGTGAAGGAAATACGCTCCATCCACCCTCATGATAATGACAAAATATTTGAGATTATAAGCATTTATTAGATTAAAAATTATCTTGGATAATATAAAAAAAGAATTAAGATTTGTTGTATAAGATTTGAAAAGCAAAGAAAATCGAATTCAGCAACTAAATATTTAATAAAACGTTCGAAATGACATATTTTATAAAGAAAAAAAACTAGACTTGTACAACGACCGCATTTTTCTGAATGAATTTGGCCAACTTGAAAGCGAATATGATAATAATTGCCTGCAAAGGAATCGAAATATAGTCTTAAGAGAAATAAAAGAAATCGAATACTTACTTGAAAAATGAAAAAGCTAATATCTGGAATATAATAAATGACCATATTTGCTGAAAGTCTAGCCACGGGTATTTCGATTAAACTTGTTAGAACAATCGTGAATCTCGTTTCAAATAGGACCACACCCAACGAGCCGAACTATAGAGAAAACATAAAGATCAGTTTTAATTTTAACATTTCACTGGTTTTTTAATTTTGAATAACTATTTAATAAAATTTTAATATATATATACGTCTGTACTATAGAAACAAGAGTTAACTTTCAGAAATAAAATATAAGTTCTAAAATTTTCTTGAAATGAAAAATAACATTTACTGTTTTAAAATGGATAAGATAAAATCCTATTCAAACAAACCGTATTAAATTTTATATCGAATGTTTTTTTATATAATTCGCATGGGAAAAAATCAAATAACATTACATACCACATATAAGCCTATTGTCGAGTATCGATAGCTGACCAATAATCCAAAGCCATAATAAACAGTTGCCGCAATAGGAACAGTAGGTATTGCATTTGTTCGTAAATATCCTGTATAGCTTACGATTTGAACATATAGATTGGTCAAACAAGAACCCTGCAAAATTTACTATACAAAATCAGTAAATAGTCAAATAATTCTACAAGAAGAGGAGGAATATTCTTAGTTGGAGATGGGACAACTTGAGAAGGTTAGTATTTTTCGATCAATAAGTAGGTTATACACATTTTCCGAATCTCGAATAAAAGTATTCTGTTTTGATTGAATACAATTTTATATATTAAGTCGGATATTTTCAGCGAAATTGTTTCGAAATATTGTAAAATTTTAAATGAAATAGAAACGTTTGATTTAGAGATTGTTCATCATCACTTTTATGTTATTAATAATAAACAGAAATAAAACTTACAAGACAAATACCAAGCATAATGAGAAGAATTAGACGACATCGTTGTAATTGATGATCCTTAACTTGTGCTAATGGTCTCGTAGCAGACGTATCAGGTTTATTCATCATAACAATGTTTTCGGTTTCTAGTTTGTGTTCCATTTAGGTAATGTGTAAGTATTTAGATGTCTGAATAAACGTACGAGAATTATGGTTCCAAATAGAATAGGAGTAATAACTGAAATAATAAAAAAGAGAAATAAGAGAAATTATGTTTTGCTTCTTTTTATTCTTTATTTCATTTCTTTTGTAATGCAAGAATCATTCTTCACGTCATAATATTCCTCACTTTAAATACTTAATCATATCAGTAAAACGTGAGAGAATGAAAGAGATATATCGTGCCATAATAATTTCTTCTTAACAACGTCACAAAACATACGGAACAGCAAAAACATCTACCCTCTGAACGATATTAACAGAATATTATGCATAGAATCCAAATATAGGCAATTCATTAGTTTAGTTATAATCAGAAAATATTAATATCTGCTTTAGAAAAAAAAACAAATGCTTCTCAAACTTTAATCACATTATATAGACATTGAAAACAAAATTTTCTCTACAATTTTTATTCTCTTAAATACTAATATGCCTTTTTAGATTTTATTAATATACTGTATTGTGTTTATTGACAAATTAAAAGTCTTGCACTTTTTCATGGGACTAATAACTCCAATCAAACTCTTTGTCCTCGAAGGAATTTTTTTACAGGCGAATGATGATGCTTCGTCAAGTAGATCTTATTTATTGCGTTAGATTTAAACAAATAGATGAACTATTTAAGCCAGATTAATAACATCAATGGTAGAACGATGATAATTACCGACTATATGACATATTATATTTTTCGAGTTAATATTAGAGATATTGTGTCCTGACACAAAGAGTTTTGAGGATTGGTGTAGATCTTATTCCCAACCAACACACACACACACACACACACACACACACTAGTTCTTGCTTCTGTTCTGTGTGAAAAAGCAGCATTTTTGACTTGGACACTATTTTTCCGCTGGAAATCAGCATTTGTTTCACCGATCGAATTTTTGTTCAACCCACCCCTGATCATAATATGAAAATATTTATGAGTATAAACATTTATTTGATTGAAAATTATACTCGAAAATATAAAAAAAAAATGAATATTTGTTTTATAAGCTTTGAAAAGTACAGAAATTCGAATTCAACAACTAGAAATTTAATAAAACGTTAAAAATGACATATTTTGTCAAGGAAAAAACAAATTAGATTTATACAATAATTCTATTCTGTTTAATGAGTCTGGCCAACTTGAAAGCCAATGTGATAATAATTATCTGCAAAGAAATCGAAATCTAGTATCAACAAAAATCAAAGACATCGATTACTTACTGTGAAAATGAAAAAGCAAATAAATAAAATAAAAAAAATGGCCATATTTGTTGAAAGTCCATCCAAACGTGTAACGATTAAAATTCCTAGAATAATCACGGAACATATTGCAAATAGGACCACACCTAGCCAAGCGAACTAAAGACGAAAAACAAAGATCAATTTTGATATATATAGATATACATCTGTACTATATAAACAAGAGTTAAGTTTTAGCAATAAAGTCTAAGTTCTAAAATTTTCTTGAAATGAAAAATATCATTCACTTGCTCAAAACAAACCGTATTAAATTTTATGTCAAATATGTTTTTATAGAATTTGGATCGGAAAAAAAATCAAATAAGATTACATACCATGCGTAAGCCTTTTTTCGAATATTTACAGCTGACGAATAATCCAAAGGCATAGAAAGCAATTGCCGCAATAGAACCAACAATTCTTGTATTTGTTTGTAAATCTACTGTATAGTCTACGATTTCAACAAATGCAATGGCCAACCAAAAACCCTGCAAAATTTATTATTCTAAATCAATAAAAAAATGAAATACTTCTAAAATAGGATCAATGTCAAATGATTATACACGAAGAAAAATATTCAGTTTTGATTGAATACGATTTTATCTGTTTAGTCGAATGTTTTGAATGAAATAGAAGTGTATAATTTATAGATTATTCATTATCACTTTTATGTTATTAATAAAAACTTACAAGACAAATACCAAGCATAATGAGGAGAATTGTGCGATATCGTTCTAATTGAGGATTTGTAACTTGTGTCAGTGGTCTCATATCAGGATTATTCATCATAACCATGTTTTCGGTTTCTAGTTCGTGTTGCATTTGAGTAATGTGTAAGTATTTAGATATCTGAATAAACGTACGAGAGTATAGTTCCAAATAGAATAGGAGTAATAACTGAAATAATAAAAAAGAAATACGATAAATTATGTTTTGCTTCTCTTATCGCTTCTTTTTATTCTTTATTCCATTTCCTTTGTAAAACAAGAATCATTACTCACGTTACAATATTCTTATTTTAAATACTTAATCCTATCAGTAAAAAGTGAAGAAACGAAAGAGATATATCGTGCCATAATAGTTTTTTTCTGAGAATATCACAAAACATATAGAACAGCAAAAATATCTACCGTCTGGACCATATTAACAGAATGTCTTGCATAGAAACGCAGATATACTCAGACACATGAATATTTTACCATAAAAACACGTTTATCAGTAATTCATTAGTTTTTTATAATCAAAAAATATTAATATTTGCTCTAGTGGAAAAAAAAGCAAATGCTCCTCAAACTTTAGTCATACTATATAGACATTGCAAAACAAAATTTTCTCTACAATTTTTATTCTTTTTAATACTAATATGCCTTCTTAGAGTTTATTAATATACTGTATTGTGTTTATTGACAAATTAAAAGTCTTGCACTTTTTCATGGGACTAATAACTCCAATGAAGCTCTTTTTCATCGAAGGAATTTTTTTACATGCGTATGATGATACTTCGTCAAGTAAATCTTGTTTATTGTGTTAGATTTACACAAATAACTGAACTATTTAAAACAGATACATAACATCAATGATAGAATGATGATAATTACCGACTGTAAGACATATCCTAGTTTGTGGAGTTAATATTAGACATATTGCATCCTTACACAAAGAGTTTTGAGGGTGGGTGTGGTTTTTATTCCACACCCACAGCCACACCCTCAAGATTCTAATTTTCATGAATTAGATTATATTATTTGTTTTGAATTGAATCATTTAGTTAATGTACTTCAGTAGTAAATTTAGAATACGACCTGAAGAACTCGTTGAATATGAACGTAATAGAGAAGACGATATTTTTTGAAAAATAATCGTGAAAGAGTTTGATGTCACTTGTTTATTTTTTTAAATCTCTTTTAGCTTCTTTTCATCTATTTATACTCTCAGTACTGTGTTACAAATTCTTTCATTTTCCCCAAGAAATCTAACGGAATCTTTACTCTCTCGATTGTTAAAGGTGTGGCTGTAATAAAAAAATACTCCACCCACACCCTCAATAATTTTCATAAAATAAAAACTATATCCTTCGTTGATAAATGATACAAAAGAAAAATTATTGTTGTAATTTTTCATTATGTTAAACAAAGATGAAGAGATTTATCGAATCATTTGCTTTTAAATAAATCGAATGATTTCATTTTATATGTCGACATTTATCTAACTATATAGGATTATGCATATGTGATTACATGAAAATACATATTATTTAATAAATAAAGCTATACAAGTTCTTTTAAATATTTGTCTCTTCTATTAACACAACCGACTTGTCAGGTCGTTTTTTCAATGATGATTTATAATAAAATTTTTGTACGACAGGAACAACTTTCGTTTTTTTGACATGTTTTCTCGATTGAAGTCTTTTGCGTGCTGGATCAATACCAAAATAATATTTTAATATATCCATTGTAATAATAAATAATGCAGTACTTATCAAAAAAATAATTGCTATATAACCAAAAGATTTCGAAACTCTTTCGAGGGTAAC